AATAAAAAGAATGAAAAAAAAAATTATTGTTTCTATTAATTTAATTATTTAATTGCCTTACATTACTTAAAATGCTGAAATTTGCCACGATTAATTTTTTTGTGAAATTAAGTCATTTATTTATAAGTTAATTATTAATTATTAACCAATTTATTTTAGTGATCTATCTTAGTAAATTTTGGTATTTAAAACTCTCTTTTGATACATTTTCTGCTATTTTTCTCATTGATAAAATTGATATGAATGTTGAAGAAGAATATGGGAAATTTGTTCAATTCTTGATTAGTTTTATGGCTACCATAATCAATTGCTTCTTAGCCACAGGTGCAGTTTCCATGCGTACAGTTATCCGGATCACTCTCCAATTGAAAAAAATCTTTCAAAATGGAACATTTATTAGATGCTTTATATACTTATAACAAAACTAAGAATGGTGTTATTCGATTTTTTTATGTTTTATAATAGATCATTGTATAGATCATTGTAGAAAAATTAGAATGATAGCATATCTGTTTATTTGAATTTTTTTATAATTTTACGAATTTTTTAAAAATTTTACACTGCGGAAGCGCGAAATACAATATGACTTCTAACTGTTTAGAGCGGTTCATTCGGTCGGAAAAATTTTCATTGTTCATTATTTAAAAAAAAAATTTATTGGAGTAAAATTTTGGTATTAAAAATAACTTCCTACTGAAATGAAGGGTCGTTGCAACTGCCATTCGTTTAAAATTCTCGTACTATTTTTTAATAAAAGGAAATTCAATTAAAATTTTTTTCGAGAAATCAAATAATAGTATTGGTTGGTATTAATAAAAGATATTAATGCTTATATGCAATGCTAATACAAATTCTTTTAAGCATTCTCGTCCTAAAAGCTTATTGACGTAATAATATAATCCACGATTCGTGTATTTTAAAAAATTAGTTCAATTTATCGCATATTTGATTCATTGAGCGATATTTTGCACGATGTTCCACGCCTTGTTGAATTGTTTTTTTGAATAAACAAATAAATATAATATTTTTCCCTTTTTTCACCATTTCCCTTAGCTGATTTAGTTGGCATTGTTGACCACTAAGTTTTATTACTGAAAAAATGAGCAAAAATGACTGATCCGTTTCATCTAAATTGAATGAAAAATCATTTTCCTAACTTTTAATTCGATCTCTTTAATGGGTTTATACGAATATTCCTGAAAATATTTTCATTTTTTATCTAAAAAAAAATTATTGGAAAAAAATGTTAATATTGAAATGTTTGTTAAAGATAATTTCCTAATGAAATAAGTTATGAAGGATCGTTGCAACTGCCATTTCATTTAGAATTCTCCAACAATAGGAATTTCAATTAAAATTTTTTTCGAGAATCTGAATATTAATAATAATAATATTAACAAAAAATAATGCTAATATGCAAATTCCTTTTACCATACTCGTCCTAAAAACTTATTGACGGATTATTATAATCCACGAATCGTATATTTTATTTTATAAAGTCAGCCGATTCGTAATTTTTTTGTATGCAAAAAATAATATTAAAATAATATTAAATTATAAAAACATAAAACCAAGATTAAAAAAACTTTTTAACCTATTTAATTTTTAATCATACAAAATGGAAATTCTAAATAATTAGAATGATTTCCAAAATTTATTCTCTTTTTTAAAAATTTCAAGAAAAAAGAAAAAATAATAAAAATTAAAAAATTCATAATATTATCAAATTTATAATTTATAATATTTATAATTTCCGCCTCTGAATTTATTTTATTTTATCATTTAATGAACTAAAATTAAAAGAGTCAAATTTAGAAGATATGCGCATTAAATTTACCAAATTTTTGATATAAAGTTTTCGACTGCAAAAAATTATAATTTTAAAATTTTATAATTATAATTTTATAATTTTAAAATTATAATTATAAAAAAGAGAATTAAAAATTATATTCACAAAATGAACAATATCGCTTTGAATAGTCGGAAACTAATTGAATAACAATAGGATTCTCAACAAAAATTTTCGAGAAATATTCCAGAAATCGAGACCACTGCCAAAATGCATTGCGGATTTATCAGTGATATTTCACGAAAATTCTAATCTCTTTCATAGCAAAAATATTTACGAATATTTTATATTAAAATACAGTGGGAAAATGATACAAAAGGAACGTTTAAGAAGAAAGTATATGAAAGTACCATTTTTTTCAAAAATATAAGTAAAAAAATATGTGAAAATTCATAAAAAAAATATTTTTCCCGTACATCAATGCGCTGAACACTTTCGGTAAATTCCTGAAATTCAAAGGAACACTGCCAATTCGATAAGAATAGAACATAGAATACTATCATAGTCACCGTAAAAAGATTACCAATGAAACCCAAAAACCGGTTTTGCGAATGCTTTAAATAGTCGTCGCCCATAAGATTTTCAACCGTTCAGAGATGTTTGCTTCCGTTGCTATTTTTTGCATTACAGTTAGTGAATTTTTTAATTCGATTAAAAAATTTTTATTAGATATTTTCTTTTTTCTGCATCTTTTTATTAGTACTTTCTCACTTTCACCGACAGTTTTTTTCTTGAGAACAATCTGCGGAAGTTGGTTTCGTAATAAATCCATGAAAATTTTTGGTGATCGAAAAAGTTAACTCGCAAAAAAATTCAGTAGCATCGTATTTTATAAGGCCACCTAAAAAAAATTTCCGTATTGAAGGTGTTTTTTCAATTTGCTAGTGGTGCGAGTAAACATGGAGAATATGCATATGGCGAGGAGATTGCTGATTTTGGTTGCCGCAGAACTAATCAAAAATGTGGTACAAATATGGTATTTAGATTAGTTTTCAAAGCAGTTCGTCTTCACAATTCATTTCCCTTGTATCAATGCTGGCAACGATGTATTTGTGCTAAAA